CCTTCTTTTCGTTCATTTATCCACTTTAGCTTCTTTAGTTTAGTTTTAATTTGGTTTGATTTTAGCTTCTTTAGTATAGTTTTAGTATAGTTAAGTTTTAGCTTCTTTGGTTTAGTTTTAGTTTAGTTTTATTTTGACTTTAGTTTAGCTTTATCACTATCCCTATACTCATCTTCATATATACCACCCATTTCTTGAGCGTTTTACTTTCATTTATTCAAGTTTATGCCGGTTTCTAATAAGTGTCAGGTAAATAATCAATTATATTTTATTAAATAATAATGATAATTAATTAGTTAAAACATTATACTAATATTCATGATAAATAATAATTTTAAAGTTAGGGCAACATTTTATTACGAACGCACGTTATTTGGCCATCAAAGGGGGATAATATTTGGTTAGAAACAAAAGGCTGATTATGAAGGAAAGAAAAAGTTGAGCCGATGAGGAGAAGCATCATTGGATTTTTAGGTTTTGGTGTTTGTTAATTTATCCAGATAGTTGGTAACAAATTGATTCAATATTTGTTCGAATTGAATTGATTATAATTATTTTGAAATATTTGTTTGTTAGCGCTTTAATTATCTATCAACTTATCTATTTATTGACATCATCCTTAATTATTGCATCCTTCGTTATCATTATCATTATCATTATTTTTATTTATTTAATTTTCACCAGTACTTTTACTCATTTGTCATGGAAGGCAGAAGATCTAAGGTACGGTACGGACTCGACGGAGGTTGGTAGTGAAGCGGACTAAATCAGGTCTATATTAGTAGTAGTAGTAGAATTATTAGCTTCTTAGTAATATAATTATTATTAGTAGCAGTAGCTTTAGTATTGGTTATTCTTTTTTTTTTTTTGATGTCTGATTTAGTCCGCTTCTCAAGAAACTACCTACAGAAACTTCTTTAGACGTGATGTTATTTTTTTATTTTTTTATTAGTATTATGAAAAAACAATTTTTAATTCATGTATGTTAGTAGTAGCAATAGCTTTAGCATTTATTAGTTGTATTCACTTTGGACGTGGCATTAGATTGGTTGGCTACGACATTATCATTGCGATGGATGGGCGTGGTATTTTATTTAATGTATTATTAATAAGTTTTATTATTAAAAAAATTGTTAAGGGAAAATACTTATTAAAGTTGATATAATAACATATAGAAATGCGTCTGGAATAATTTTATTGTCTGAAAATTTATATTTTTAATATGTAAACTCGATAAGTCGGTCATGTGGGGTAACGACTTATCAAACCGTATTAAATTTATCTATAATTCCATAGTTATAAAGCGGTAGGGTGTCCATGATTATGCTTTTTTTTTGCAAATTATATATACTTTTTTTTTTCTATATAGAATCATGCTTTTATGCTTTTTTTTCCAAAATTGATTTTCAGAAAAATTAAAATACATGAAATTTAATTTTTCTTTTAAATCAGTTCAGTTAATATACTTTTATAAATCGAAAAATATCTTTAAACATCAACACTGGACACAGGAAGTTTCACCAACAGTTATACTAATCATATTATTTTTTATTAAATTTTTTAATTTCTATACTTCAAATTCATAACTCATTGGCAAATATTTTTTGAGAAGTTGATTTGAACCTAAAATATAACCTCCTAGGAAATAATAAAAATAAAAATAAATGATAATTTACATTAAAATATTCAAATTAATTTATTTTAAGGTCATTTTGATTATATCGAGAGATATGGTCAAGAGAAGAGTTAGAAAGAGAGTTATTCTTCAACCAAGTCGAAAACCAACCCTTTAAATACATTTTCGAGTAGTACGTTTTAATTTATTAGACTATTTCAAATGGTTGCTTCCAACTTCTTAAATTCGAACCATTTGTTAACGAAACAACTGTTTGATTTTTTCATACATCGTTCATGTTTTCTCTTGATCGTATATCTTAAATTGGTCGCGTTTACAATCATTTTGACATTCGTTATATTAAGGTTATTTTGATTATATCGAGAGATATGGTCAAGAGAAGAGTTAGGAAGAGAGTTATTCTTCAACCAAGTCGAAAACCAACCCTTTAAATACATTTTCGAGTAGTACGATTTAATTTATTAGACTATTTCGAATGGTTGCTTCCAACTTCTTAAATTCGAACCATTTGTCAATGAAACAATTGTTCGTGAAGTGATTGTTGACAAAATGAATCAAACCCACATTAAATGTTTTATTTTTTGGAATAAGATCGACAAAAATTTGGCCAATGAAATAGTTGTTTTTGTGATCTGCAACAGTGTAAGGTTAGCCCTTGTTGTAGATCTCGGCTTATCAAAAAAAATTTCCCAATTTTTAAAAATAGATGGTGCAAATAATAAGCCACGGTTAATAAACTTTCAAATTTAGGACGTTGATCATTACTAATTAGAGTCCCTTTTGTTTGACCATTTTATCACGTGAAACATTCTAATAAAATGAATATTTTTTTATGAAACACGTTAATTAATTAATAAAAGTTGAAAGTGAAATAATTGAGTAAATTGGATGTTACTAATAATAAAAAATGAACAATAAGAATTATGGTTGAGATAATATAGGAATCATGCTAATTATCTAAAGAATTGAAGTAATTAGTATATTTTAGTTTTTTTAAAATTTAATCCTTGTTAAGTATTGCTTTTACGGATCTCTCGGTTAACAGGTAATAGTAAGTTTCCTGGAAAAAATATCCGTTAAACCGGGACTTATTGTGTGCTATTAATTGTTCTTTCTTCATCTTCTTTATCATCACTATTTTCTTTCTTTCCCATCTTGCTTTTCTTTTTCTTATCAATCTAGATTGCTTCTATTGTTTTCCTTCTAGGATTCGTTTCATTAACAGAAATTGTTTATCATAGAGGTAGCAACACATTTTCCTCCAAGTAATTCATAGACTTTCGCCACCATTTTACTAAAGGAAAATTCGAGTCCAATTCAACCTTTTTATTAAATAATTGCTTTGTAAAACGAAAAATCTTAACGGAGATTTTCACGAAGGAAATATCCCAGTTTGTCAACCTGAAGATAAAAGTTTTGATGTGAAATTTATTGATTTTGAATGATCGAGAAAAACATAAACATTCACCCAGTTTCATGTATATTTTGTACTACATAAATCACTTTAAAAATGTCCTAAAAGTATTAATTATTAAAATAAAAATTGAAAAAATTAAAATGTTTAAACAATCTTTTGAATTTTTTAAGGCATTACCCCCTAAGAAGAAATATGGCATACTTGCAGGTATCATAATACTGATTGCCTTAGTGGTTTTATTCATTGTTTTCGAAAGGCCTATTTTATCAGGTAAATTTATTTATTAATTTATTTATTTCTCTTGTTTTGTAATCAAGATTTTGATTTTGTTGTATTAATTATACGTGTCAATTAAATTATTAGCGATTGCACCGGTTGCCGCTAAATTCCGTGAAATTAAGTATGGATCTTTAATAATTTCAGCGTGTATTATAGTGTCTAGTATTCCACCAATTCCAGGGTAAAAAATTGTTATTTAATTATTGATAATATTACATAGTATTCCTACTACTACCACTATTACTAATAATAATAATAATATATAGTTATAGCACAACTATATTATTAAGTGGTTTTGCATATGGTTTTCCAATGGGATTTCTTCCTGTATATCCTGCAGCTTTAATAGGAGCAAGTCTAAGTTTTTTGTAATTAACTCTATCATTTGTCTTTTACCTTTCGATCAAGTTTATATTTAAATAGTAATCAATTATTTTAATTTGTCTAGTATTTGTCGTTTGTTATGTCTTGGGCGAGCAACAAAAATGGCAGAGAAACAAGGAAATTTTTATAAACTATCTTTAGCAATTGAAGAAGGTGGATTTTGGGTAAATATAAGTTTAATCACGTATCATATAAAATAATTGTACTATGTTAAATTACTTATTATAATTAAATCTATCCAGGTCATATTCTTAATAAGACTTAGTCCATTCCCATTCACATATTCAAATGCATTCTTTGCAGCAGTTCAATCAGTCTCATTTACTAAATTTTTTATAGTAACAGCAATTACGCTTCCAAAGATATTAATTCATATTTTTATTGGGTCAAGACTTCATAATCTTGCCGACGAAATGGATCCAACGTCAAGAATAGTCAATTATGTTTCACTTGGAGTTGGGATATTATTCCTTTTTGTCGCAACTTATATTATTTATAATAAAATGAATAAAGTGGTTGAAAAAGCCGCTGCTAAAAGATTCTTGGAGAAAGGAGATGTTGAAAGTGCGTTTGAAACTGATAATGAAGATGATGGATCTATATTATACGTTGGAGACGAAACGGTAGTTGAAGAAGATATTAGTCACCATTATTATAAAAATGAATTAAACTTGGCCTAATTTTAGTGTAATAATTTATTAATGATAATAATATGTTATGTACTATTAGAATTTTCAAAAAATTTTTTTAGATTAATCTATTTTTTATTATGTAAATACAATTGTAACACTACACTACACGAAAATAAAAAATAAAATGTCAAATTCTAACAATATTGAAATTGATGAATTGGAAATAAATAACAAGAGAAAACCAATCCGAATATTAACACCAAAAGAAATTAGTAAAGCTTTTCGTATAATGGCGTCTAGAAAAGCAGAAAGACAAGTTAGAGGAAGATACAGGAGAAGATCTTTAACAAGAGTTTTTTGGTTTATAATGTTCATGCTTGTATTCTTATCGTTAATGGGTGCTGGAATTGGTGGAAAGTTAGAAAACGTAAGTACTTGGCAAAGGTGGCCAGAATTCATGACTTTCACTATATTATTTACTGTAGTGATGTATGTTTATTATAAGGTTTGTTGAAGTTAAAAAAAAAATTAAATTGATCAATTTAAAAATCATTCATTATTATAAAAAATTATTAATTTCCACTCTTTTCTTAAACGGTGATTAGATATCAGAAGTAATTCGATGGTGTTTTTATTGGTACGTAAATATATTCTTTTTCACATTGAAATATTATTCAGTGCGCCATTGATCTTAAATAATAATAATATACAATAATTGTTATTGTATGTAGGTTAGCAATTGCAACTATATTTCTTTTGATTATGAATCGTGGTTCACTTATCAATAATGTCGGTACAGGATTTGCGTCAACTGTTGAAACACGAATTATATTAATTGTTTTAGCATTTGTTGAATCATTGACATTATTGACTTGGATTATAATTAGATTTGTTTATCCAAAGATTATAAAGGATGCTAATTGGCTGGACACTATATGGTGGTGGAGGGTTAAAAGTGCTGATATTAAGGATCTAGAAGGCACAAATGTTGGATGTTTTAGGTATTTTGCTTGGGAAAGCTATAGTCTTTTGTTTAGACATGGTGTTGTCACTTATGTTGGAGAAGTGGATGATGATGGTCAACCACATGGATGTGGTGAATGGGTTGATGATTCGTTTGATGGTGAATGTTTAGTAGGTATTTGGGAACATGGTGTTCCAATTGGTCCATTTCAATCAAGAGGATCTGGAACTGGTGACGCATTTCATTCAGTTAGAGTGGGCCTTGTTAAAAAAAGGAATATACTTTGGGATGAATGGCGGTTTTATCCAAAACCATATCAAGCCGGTTTAGATTATGTCGTATCGTCGGTTGAATGTTCTGTGTCAGGAAAATATTTGAAACAACTGCCTCGTGCCACTTTAATTAATCCTCCAAAGTCACGCGCTTCTGTTGAAAGCGATCTTGAATCTCGTAAAAACACGATAGAGAATTGCCTAGAGGATTTGTTCACCTTTTCTGATGCAATGTGTACTGGCTCTGATGTTGATGGGTCATCACATTCTTCGGTTTTGATAAGGCTTGAAGATAAAGGTTTCTTCAATATTATTGGATATACTCCTTCAAATGAATTAACTTCCAGAGATGAAATAATAATTAGGAAGGTACCAAAAAAAAATAATGCTTTAGATTGTTCATCATCATCATCATCATCATCAACGTCGAGCATTGAATACACGATAAATATTGATGGTTGGAAACCATTGGATATCTGTAAGCCATTTTCATCGTCACCAATAAATCAACATGCATCTCACAATGTCATACAGGTAAAAAAGATTGTTATATAGACACGTTTAATTAATTAATCAACTAATATAAACTTATCAGTTTAAAAATAATGTTGATTAGGAATGCATAATATTTATTCATGGTTTTAATTGTCCACCAAAATTTGCCACGGAAACATTCGGCCAATTTCTTGCTTTAGCAGATTTTCCTAATTACATAAAGCCATTCGTATTTAGTCCTTCTGGTTCAAATTCCTTTTGGTATTGGGAAGCACAAAAACAAGGACTAATTGAAGAAGTGGTTAATGGTAAATAGAAGTATATTAAATCACACACTTTCTCATATGGTAGATATATATATATATATACATTTCTAATTTTTCTTTTAAAGACTTTAAAACATTTTTATTAGATCTTCGTGATTCAGGATTTTCTGCTGTACACATATTAAGTCATTCGATGGGATGTAAACTTTTACTAAATTATGTGAAAGCATTTGATGAGATTTTTCAAATAAGACATAAAAGAAGTGGTGGCAATACCTCAAATACATTTAAAGAAAAATCAATTTCAATAGATGTAGAAAGTCAGACAATATCTTTATCAAGTGATGCTCAACAAACGCCATCACCATCAACAATAACGACAAAAAAGATGAAATTATCAAGTATCACGTTGTTAAATCCTGATACGTCATTATCACAATTCGTCAATGCTGATTATCAACAGATTTCCAAGTATTGTAACCATATAACTGTTTACACAAATAGACGAGATTTTGCGTTACGTGTACGCGAATTCATGTCCAAAGAAAAATCTTTGGGTCGACATACTAGTAGTGATTTATATTTGGAAGGAAAATTGTTAAATATTGATTTGATTGATACAACCCAATTGGACGTTAATATACACAAGTTAAGACACAATTTTTTTAATTTGAATCGCATATTAGTCGATGATTTGTGTGACATTATTGTGTCAGGTAGAAAAGCTAATGAACGTAAAAGTAGACTAAATATAAAGTTGCATGGTGTTTCCAAGGAAGGCATCGTTTATACTTTCCTAGTTGCACCCAGTTATGTCACCAATAAATAAGATAAATGAAAAATAAAAAATATTTATAATTTACAAAATAAACGCATTTATTAAAATTTCGATCACAAGACCACGGTAACGTAAACTATAGTAGTAGACTTGATAAAAACGACTGATTGCAATACCCTTTGGACATTTTTCTTAAACAATAATTCTAAAATGCTATCAGCTGAATCCGCGTTGAAGTTACGCGACACTCCTAAATGAAAGTTGAATCATTACAAAAATCTAGGTACATGTTTATGCTCACTAATACTAGGGAAAATAGGCAAATGCGTTTGAATTTGGCGATACTTTAGGAGGATAGTTAGTCAGGGAGTCAGGGAAAAGGTCAGAACAATTATGTTTGAGAAACCTGAAATTCATTCATTAATATTAATATTAATATTAATCTTGGTTTACACAGTTTTGGGGTCGAAATTCGATAATTTTATTGGACAAAAATTATAACAATCCATGTGATAGATATTCGAAAATTTTATAAATAATATTGTAGTTGTTATTCATTGTTATTTATTATCATGTCACAATAGACCATTGAAAACCGAAAAAGTAAATCCTGTGGAAGGTTACTTGGAGGGTATAAATTGAATCATTATGTGATTCTTTTTATCCTTACATTTCTTTATAAACCCAATTTTCTGATGGGAAAGGTTAAGAAAGTTAAGAAATGGTTAAATGAATGGTATAGTAATCTTCACAGTCGATACATTGATATCGTTTCTGATTACGGAGGTACTCGAAGAAAATCGTTTTTATGTGAATTATGATACCTGATTTGATTAAATTAAAAAATTTTTTTGTATAATAAACAGGTAGTGAGTTGTTTGTGTTAGAAGGTGATAGTCTTCTATTTAAAATTTTATATGATCCAAAAACAAATCTTCTTGATTTTGGTAAAGAATTTAGCGGCGGTCAGTTTTTAGCCCTAACATTCTTAGTTGAATCTTTTCTAAAGCAGCTGAAAGATCGCGAATGTGTTTTTCATATTATATTTTTTGATCAACACAAATGTATTTGGAATAATAATCCAAAATTACTTTTGGCAAGAGAAATTATAATTGATCATCTAAAATCATATAAGGCAAATGTTAATATTCCAATATTTAAATTTGATAATTGGTGGGACGAAGATTGGAGAGATTATATAAACGACAGACAACCGTTGTTTATTCTTTGTGGTGATGGCACAACAGAAAATTTGATGATGCATGATGATGATGATGATGAAGATGATGATGAAGATGGTGATAATGAAAGTAAAAAATATATTTCTTCTCTCACTAACATCGCTACTGAAAAGTCATTATCTCTTACCATAATTTGGAAATGTTTATTGTTTCATTCACTTCATCATGATCTATCGATTGCTCTATTAACCGGAATGGAATTTAGAGATTCACGTGCAAGTGCTTTTGTTGCCGATCGTGGAGGAAACATAAAAATGAACGCCAAGATTGAGCAAATAATTCAAGTAATAGTAGAGGTATGCGAAGCATCTATTAAAATATTTGACGAAAAGAATAGTTGGATGAAAGGATCCGTTTTATCTTTTGAATTTCCGTTATTGGATGATTTATTATTATCAAAAGAAACGGAAAAGATTTTTCATGATGGAGGAAAGAGAATGGTGCTCGTGATTCTTTCGCTAGTTGGAGTTTTAAGTACAAGCAAAAGACCCGAATACATTCAACTTGCAAGATTATTTTTATTACATATTTTCATCTTGGATTATCTTCCATTAAAGTACAGGGCAGCGCCACCACCACCGCCTTTTGATGATGAATCAGAAGAAAATAGATTCATGAAGGAGTTTTATAAATTCTCTGCAAAAGCTTTATTGAGTGATGGTTTTAAAGAAATAACCAATAGTATAGCCGATTTAAGAAGTAATCTTGGTGACTTTATCGATGGTATAATATTTGCATCTTTAATAAGATTACAAAACAATGGAAAATTTAGCTTTCCCCGGGAAATTAAAAATGATTTCGATGTTGCGTGGAGATTGATAATGGATTTGTGTATGATGAAAGGACACGATTTTTCAAATGATGAAAATCACCTTTTAAATGATAAAGAATATTTAACGATAGTGACATCGAACGCAACAAATGTTCATGAACAAACAACAACTTTACTTCCATTTAATTTTCCATTTTTTGAAAAATATTTAGGTAATATGCAATTGAATCTTTCCGAAAATTCGAGTTTAGAGATAGATCATGGACATTATGGAAATATTGGAAATATACCATTTCACGATATTTATCATTGGCATAAAAAAAGATTAATAGATGCTCCAGAACCTGTTAAAGATAGTTTAAGAGATTACCAAAAATATGTAAGTTTCATGAATAAATATGCCTTATCCTTAAACGGGACTCAAGGTTTTTATAGTATAAAAATAATCAAAAAAAATTCGGGAAAAGAGTATAAACAATCTAATAAAGCAAAAGAGTTGATAGAAGATATAAACAAAAAAAAAATGATTGAAAAATTTAAGATTTCTGAAAATATCCTTGATAAAGTTATAAAAGAATCAAAAGGTATGATGAATGATAAAATATTGGAATCTTTGGATAATATGATTTTGAAAAAAGATAAGTTCCAGCACCCTATTTCATTATTACGTGTACATTTTTATAAGTTAAAAGTTTTGCTTGATTTATGGACAGAATATTGTAAATATTATACCAAAAGCCATCATAAAAAAGAATATTGGTCAAAATTTCCTGTAAATATATTTCGTCAAATATTTTTCATTGCTCAAAATTTTACATTCATATTGAGTGAAAATGAAGAGAGAAAAGAAAGATTGATAGAAATTTTAAATAGACTTGGATTACATGATTCGGCTCTTAAGTTAGGAAAGATGTGTAATATTGAAAATACAACCACAGTTAAGAAAAATGAAAAGAATAATAAAAACAAAAAGGGAAAACAAAAGCAGAAAGAGACTTCATCTTCTGGTTCCGAATCAATTAAAATATCACCTTTAGAATTTACTATGCCTGATTCTTCTATTGATTTAAGTGTTAACACAACCGACGCACGATTTCAAATGATTTACGCCGGTCATTTAATGGATCGAAACACAAATTCAAAAGATGACAAGAGAGTCCCAAATTTTAAGCCAGGTATTATTAATATTCATGTTGAATCTGAATCACCATAAAGCTTAAATATAAATTTTTATTCAATCATCATTTAGATGGGTGGCAATGTGAAGTGTTAGATGTAATCGACAGAAATGAGTCAGCACTGGTATGTTGTCCCACTTCATCGGGGAAAACCTTCATATCTTTTTATGCTATGAAAAAGTGCTTAGAAATGATGATGATGGTCAGTGAAAATTATTTAGCATTATGTGTGTGATTTATAATATTTGACATGTAATGGTAATTTTTTACCGCAAAATCTTTAACAGGTCTATTAATATATGTTGCACCTACAAAAACGCTGGTTAATCAAATTGCTGCAGAAGTGTACGGACGATTTACAAAGGATTACGCTCATGGTGACCGAAGTGTGTGGGGAATTTACACCAGGTTTGCAATTTATTATTATATATTGCGTTTCATTTTTTGTATATTAATAAATTATTTAACCTTTATGAAATCATTTGTAGAGATTATCGACACAACCATGATAAATGCCAGATTTTAATTACTGTGCCACAAATATTGGAAATCTTACTTTTATCACCATCAAAATATGACGGTTGGGTCAAAAGAATTCGTAGAATTATATTTGATGAAGTTCACTGTATTGGTGAAATGGATGGCGGCAGTGTTTGGGAACATCTTTTACTATTATCTCAATGTCCAATATTGGCTTTATCGGCCACAATTGGAAACCCGAGGGATTTTAAGAATTGGATTGCTAAAGCGCAAGAAAAGCGTGGTTATAAAATGCATTTAATTATAACAACAAAGAGATTTTCAGATTTAAAACAATATGTATATATTCCAAAATTTCCTATAAAGCCTTTAACTGATTACATAACTAAATCGGATAAATCATCACAACAAAACAGCATATTTCCTATTCACCCTTTTTTCCAAATGCCTACCGAGCTTGTTGCAGAAAATGGGCTTTCCAGGGATCTAAGGCTTATTCCATCACAATGTATAGAACTTTGGGATGCAATAAAAAATAGAGTTGGTGATGATGTACCTGATGATTTGAAGAAATTGGATCCTGATGAATATTTTACAAAAATAGGATATATTGTTAAGGATGACGCAGATAGATATGAAAAAGAGCTTAAAGAAATATTTGAATCTTGGGCGAAAGATAAATCCAAGAAACAACTGATTAAAAATATTGTATCTGATCTTAGTAAATATATCAGGGAAAAATTTAAAGTGTTAGAAGAAACAGCAAAAGCAAAAATTATTGTTGATCATGAAACAAACAAACAAAGAGAATGCTCTATTGATCCTTATAGCGATCTGTTTATTAAAAATACCATTATTCAATTATTGTTTGAATTGTCGGCACAAGAAAAATTACCTGCCATTTTATTTCATTTTGATCGAAGGGGCTGTAATGATCTAGCACTTTCTGTTTTAGATCAATTAGAACGAGCAGAGAAGTCTAAAAGAGAAAATGACACTGAATATCAAATTAAAAAGAAAGCCGCTATTGCACAAAAAAAAGTACTTGATAAGGCAAACAAAAAGAATCGTGATAAAAAATCAAAGGAAAATGATGATGTTGATGTTGGTGTTGATGAAACGCAAATTATCTTTGACTGGGAAGCAATGGATCCTAAATTTTCATTTCTAGATGACAATCGTTTATCATCACAAGAACTTAAAGATTTAATTCGATCAAAAACAAAAAATAAACCAATAGGAGATTTAATGGGAAAATTATTAAGAGCACTAGAAAGAGGTATCTTTATTATTGTCAGACAATTTTATTTAAATTTAAATAGAAAAATAATTTACATATATATATTTCACTATTTTAGTCATTATATTAACAAAATTTTATAATTTTATTTAATGAAGGCATAGGAGTTCATCACAGTGGCCTTTCAAAAAAATATCTTCAACTTGTTGAGATCTTGTTTCGACGCAAACATTTAAGAGTAGTTATAGCAACTGGCACACTAGCACTTGGTTAGCAATTGAATTTACATATTCTTTGGTTTGTCTTATAATTTATATATATTTTAATAAATTAATCAATAAATTGTGATTTAGGTATTAATATGCCATGTAGAACAGCAGTATTCTGCGGAGATTCTGTATTTTTGACAGCGCTTCAATATCGACAAATGTCTGGTAGAAGTGGCAGAAGAGGATTTGATTCATTTGGCAATATAGTTTTTTATGCGATTACCTCAGCAAAAATTACAAGATTATTTATGTCTGGGTTACCAAAATTAACTGGCCATTTTCCATTAACAACAACCTTAGTTTTGAGAAGTTGTAATTTGTTGACGCAAGCAATAGATAAAAATTATGCAGAAAAAGCAATATCGGGATTACTTGGCGAGTCATTTTTTTGTTTGGGCAAAGAGCATTTATCCGAACAGATTAAACATCATTTACGTTTTTCGATTGAATATCTGATGAGAGAAAGTTTATTGGATAAGAATGGCCAACTTATTAACTTGGCGGGAATTGCCACGCATTTATATTATACAGAACCTAGTAACCTTGCATTTGCTGTATTATTTAAGCATGGCACATTTCATGAAATATGTGAAGGTCTTATAGAAGGTTCGCCTAGCTCTCTTAGCAACAAAGTGATGAATGATCTTATGCTTGTTATGGCATGTTTATTTAAGAGAATAAAATTACGAAATATATCTCATAAATATTATAAAGAGCAGTTAAGAAAATATCCTTCTAAAATATTTTTGCCACCATTACCTGAGAAAATAAAACGTGTCTTGGAAGAACATAATAATCGTGTTTTAAATATTTATACCGAATATGTGGCAACATTTGCTAAACAAAAATACTCAGACTTAGGCTTTGACGATATGTTGCCATTATCAAAACTCAAAACTTCATCACGTGAATTTCCAGAATCAACGATAACAACTGATCCTTTATTTTCTTATTTGAAATCTATTGCAATTCCATATTTTGCCAGATCACCTTTTATGGCTATGTCTGGTTCAATAGGAGATAAGTTTTCCAGCATATATGATCTGTCTAATCATATTCATAGCAAAATCTATATTGATTCCTATAGTATTCCTTACGTTGAGACTGATATAGAATTAAATGCATATTTGTGTGATTTTTTTAGTCATGGGCAACCAGAGACACTTATAAATGCAAACGGAATTAGGCCCGGTGAAGTCTGGCAGGTAAAATAAGACTTTAATATTAAATTTTTTTATAAGCATATATGCACACATAATCATTAATCATCTGTTTACTATATATATTATAACGCAAATAGGTTCTTGATGATTTTAATGCTATTTTACAAACGATTATAACCTCACTTCAGATTAGAGAAGAAGAAAAAGAAAAACAAAAAAAAAATTTTCACAGTGAAAAAGAAGTATTAAATGGTTTTCAAATGGTTATGGATCATTTTAAAGAAAAATTTTACAAGATTTTTGCATAGATTTTATTTCAAGTTTTCCTATATTATATTCAATTCAAATAAAAATTGGTATAATAATTATACATCAGATTGCGTATTTTATATATATATATACATATATATTAAATATTACATATTTTTAATTGATAACACTAGAGCAATTTGATTTTATACACAGATATCTCAAAATCTTGTTGTTAATGATATCAAAGTAAATTTACACTATCCTGACAAAAGTTTGTGAACGATATTTTTCGTTAATTACGCAAAATTCTACATAATAGAAATACATAAAATCTTAACATTAAATAACCCAGGTCCTTGTTCGTTTTCATATAAAATTTGATTTTTTTGTATTTCTAGTACTTTATTAATTAATTAAAAACAAATGAAATGTTTATGGTATTTTCATGTTTTTCAAAAATTTACATAATAAAAAATATTTAAAATACTTTTCATTAATCACGGTCTTCAGAAAGGTACACAATCATTTACAAGAGCAACAACTATGGAGGCTATTAAATTTGGAACAAAACTTGCAATTGGCACACAGATTTTACTGGAATATGCAGATGAGATTCTTTCTTTTGAAACAAAACCAGGAACAAACGATATAAATGTTGGATGATCATAGCGAAGAAGAGGATGATGATAAAGAACTTATAAGTAAATATGCCGATCCACCAGCTATTTAAATGAAGGCATTTGAATATAATTAGTTTACGTTTATAATTGAATATTAAATATATAATATAATGATTATTTATTGTTATAATTATCAGGAATTGAAGCTGCCTATTAAAGTTTAAGACAGAATATCAGAGCAGCAACTCACACAATATTTGCAGTACTGGCGAATATATGAGAAAACAGGAACTCAAGGAACAGTTAAAGCTGTTATCAGGGCAGTTCCTGTAGCAGTGCTAAAACCAATGATTGGTACATCTGAAACAGTTTCTAAAACATTGCTTGGATTAATGATCCAACCAAAAGATCACAAATGGAGAGTGCAAGTGTTGTTGATTTTTTTTGTTGTCAAATTTTAATTAATTAAATATATTCAAATATAAAATGACAAAAAAAATATAGTTGATAAAAAACATTTCGTAAAAAAAAATTTTATATGCTTCATTTGTATGTTTTTATTTATTTATTTATTATGATCGATTTACAACTATATATCACTATTATAAAAAAAATTTAATTATAAAATTCACATTTTTCCTTTGTTATATCTTTTTGGTTTTTATTACTAAATATTTCTGGAAAAAAAAAGTATTGTTCCTGCAATTATCATTATAATTACTCACAGTTCATGATAACAATTGGATTTTGACAAAATCATATGTAAAACAACCATTGGAACCCATATAGAATTTTAATTTTTTTGTGCGTATTTATTATTAAACAGTGAGTTGTTACACAACTAACTCAAAGATAAAAAAATATCAGAAGAAATATGTATACTGCTTTGTATTTATTGTTAAATGATTAGTCTTTTCTTTAAAATGAATAATATAAGAGAGGTACATGGCAAAGATCATTTTCAATATATATAAAATAAATAATATTTCTATTTGTCCAGACCAAAATTTGACAGTGGAAATGTCAATCCATATGTTAGGTAAAATATATGGCAAATTTTAGAATTTTATTTAAGTACTTTTAATTAGCATTTGGTGAGATTAATTTAACATAATAAATTTGTAATATTGCATTTATATGCATTGATTGAATTCAAAAAGTAATTGGATATCTTATTGATAACTTAATGAAATATGATTGATAAAAGGGCTATTAATACAAATCAGAAGACAGATTGAAACTAATTCCCGCCATCAATTGACACCAGTTGACAAACCAACTATTGGTTAAATAGATATCAAATTGGTTCAGAATATGATACCCAATTTGACAAATGTAAAGATTTAGTGTTTTCCCCTTCAGGCTTGTTTTGCTAGATCAATACTATTTTTAATATTTAAATATACCCTTAAATAATTGATTATCTGTTTTAGACATTTCATTAGACTATAAAAATAAAAAAACTTTCAGTAAGGACTATATCAATACAAGCAAAGTGTGCTTTTTGTGTAATCTTTTTCCCATCAAACATATCTAGATTTAATTTCATTTTATTACAAGAAATTTTTCATTTTAACACCTCTTCAATTGCATCCACTGACAAAAGATATGCTTCAAGATCTAACAATCAATCAAGCAATAATAAATTAATTGAACCAGTTAGATAATATGACAAATGATATTATTATTATTAGTGCATGCATACCTTCTAATTTCATATTAATACCACCTAATGTTGATAATCCAACCAACTGTTGTGCTAAATCTCCATTATGATAAATTAATAAAGTAGGTAGATTTTTATCAGGATAATTCGGTATGCATTGATCTCCAATTATTTTTACAAATTTGGTTGATTTATATTTTATTGCCAAATCATTTAAATATTTATTTAATAATTTACATTCTACAATCCTAAAAATAAAAGAATTAATATTTGAACCTTATTTCATTGTGTTAAATTATTGTATTAAATCATCATCATAATTATAATTATCATCATTATTACACTCACGGATCTTTAAATAAATGTACAACAACTGGTGCTTCTTTACTAGTTTCTGTGACCTCTTTAACAAAATCTGTTTTAGAAATTTGTATAACTTGTCCAAATTTTCCACGAATTGCTTCAGCTTTCATTTCAGCTATTCTCTTCTTACTAAACCAAAAATATGTAAGTTTCATGAATAAATATGCCTTATCCTTAAACGGGACTCAAGGTTTTTATAGTATAAAAATA